GAGATTAATGGAGTAATACAAAAAATAAAATTAGGGAAAGCTCCAGGTGAAGATGCATTACCTGCTGAGTTTTATAAAGAATTTAAGGAAATAATAATACCAAAATTGCAAAAACTATTTAACGGAATTTTACATGGTGGAGAAGTTCCGTTGTCATGGAACAGAACGGTGATATCTATAATCCCTAAACCAGATAAAGACTTAGAAAGGATTGAGTCCTATCGGCCCATCTCTTTAATTAATCAAGATGCAAAGATATTTACTGCCATTATAAATAATAGATTAAGTAGATTTATAGATAGATATATAAGTTATAACCAAGTAGGTTTTGTGAAGGGTAGATACATGAGTGATATTGTCAGAAGAGTATTAAATATTATAGATGTTGCTGAATATAATGCTGATAAAATAGGTATAATATCATTAGATATTTTCAAAGCTTTTGACTCTGTACAATGGGAAACTATTAAAACAATTGTTGAGGTACTAGGTTTTGGTAATAAGTTTATACATGTTATTTCAAAACTGTATCAAAAAAGTAGTGCAAGAGTGAAGGTGAATGGAAGGCTGACAGAAGAGATAAGATTGGAAGTGGGTACAAGACAAGGATGACCCCTGTCTCCAACGTTATTTTTATTAGTTATGGAAATTTTGACTAAAATGATAGAAAAAGATGAAGAATTGGAAGGGTATAAGGGATATAAGATAAATCTGTATGCGGATGATACTTTGATTATTTTGAAAGATATAGAGAAAGATTTGAAAAAGATACATAAGCATTTGGAAGAATTTGAGGAAATGACAGGTTTGAAAATAAATTGGTCAAAATCTGAATTATTAATGAATAATAATGGTAAGGAGTGGGAGAATATGCAAGAACAACTTGGGATAAGGATTAAAAAAACATTGAAATATTTGGGCATAACACTTTCACTCAAAGTTAAAGAAATGAAAAAATTAAATTATGATGTGGTGATGAATGAAATTGAGAAAAAGATAAATATAAAATGATAAAGTTGTCTTGGTTTGGTAGAATTGCAATGTGTAAGATGATGTTGTTGCCAAAGTTTAATTTTTTATTTGAGATGTTACCGTTAAACTTGACAGAGAAAGATATTGAAGGATATCAGAAGAAATTGGATAAATTTTGTAATGGTGGGAAAAGACCTAGATTAGTGAAGAAAATGTGGTATCAAAATTAAAAGGAAGGTGGATTAGGAATCCCCAAACTACTCAATTATTATTGGGCTTATGCTATTCGGACTGTGGTAAAAATATTTAAAGGTGAAGATAGTCATTGGAGAGATTTAGAATTAAAGGACATCAAGAGATTTGGCTCAACATGGTTTTTAGATAAAGCAAAATCAAAATGTGTAATTAATAGCTATTGGTTAAAGGGACTGAGTAAAATTTGGAACAAATTTGTTAAAATTTTAATTCCAGATATAATTTTCTTAGGGAAGACAATTGAAAATTGGCCGATTAAAACTAATATAAGTCGTGATAGGGTAATGGAAGATGAAAATATACAAACTATAATAGATTGGTTAAAAACTTCAGAAAATGAAAGGAGGAAAAAAGAAATCATTGAAAAATTGGGTTTAAGCTGGTTTGAAAAAATACAGATAGAAAAATGGACTAAGAAAGTAAGGGACAATTGTTCGATAAGTAGAAGTAAAACTAAATTTGAATATTTAGTATTCCAAATTATGAAAGATGAAATTGGGCTAAAGGGACTCATTAGTAAGATATATAAGATTATAAATTTTGATGGAAAACCACAAAGGGTGATGAAGATGAATTGGGAAAAAGAACTTAATATTAAAATATCAGATTTAGATTGGAACGTGAATTGGAAGAGTAGAATTATGAAGACTTTATCTGTAAGGATTAAAGAGCATAATTATAAGGTTGTTTGGAAATGGTATTTGACTCCATTAAGATTGTCACTGATGGATAAAAAAATTAGTAAACAATGTTGGAGATATGATATGGAATTAGGGACTTATGAACATATGTGGTACAAATGTGATAAAGTTAAAAAGTTTTGGCAACAATTGGAGGAAATGATATTTGAAATGATGGGGAAAGCAATAATATTGAGACCAGAAACTATATTACTGTTGATAATTAAGGAAATAGAACCAACAAAATATGAGAAGGAATTGATTAGAATTATGATTATAGTGGGTAGAATTATAATAGTCAGATATTGGAAATTAGATGTGAATTTTAGAATAGAAGAATGGTATTGTGAAATGTGGAAATTAGCTTTAAATGATAAAATGACATGTGATATTAAAATTAGAAACGGTGACTATAAAGAAGATATTTTCTGGAAAATTTGGAAACCATTCGTGGACTATGCGCTGGGAAAATTGGATGCTTCGGTACCTGTACCCCGAGAACATGGATTTTGGCGATCATGAGGATATATCCGAAGAACCAAATCTTCCTTTCTTATGTATAGCACAGGGTGAAATATTGTATATGTTGTTTGTAATGTTAGTAATTTAAAATAAAAAATTTCTTAAAAAAAAAATTACCTTTGGTTAATGCTCTGGAAGTTTTTCTCTCCCAGGCAAGCAGCAGCAGGGGACAGAAGCAGCAGCCACTGACTTGTAGACCACATGGAGCCGTTCACATGTTCTCCAGCAAGCTGCTTTCTCTACCCTGCTCTCTTGCGTCCGGAGCCGGTGGGGAACCACATGGCAGCCCACGTGGGTCCCAGGCAGCGGAACTCAGGCTAGGGAAGGGGTGGGCAATTGTGGCTCTTTTACAACCTGTGGCCTTCAACTCCCAGAATTCCTGAGACAGCCAAGCTGTCTCAGGAATTCTGGAAGTTGAAGGCCACAGGTTGTAAAAGAGCCACAATTGCCTACCCCTGGCTAGGGTAGGCTGGCGCCGCGTGGGTGGGAGGCGGGGCAGGGCGAGGGGCGGGCAAGCCAGCAATTTAACAAACGGTTCGGTGTGCTGCGGGGCCAATAAATTACAAAAAAACACCGAACCATTTGTTAAATTGCTGGCTCGCCCGCCCCATTTTATTGGCAATAAATAGTAGTGCGGAAGGGCGGGGCAAGGGGCGGGGCGAGCCAGCAATTTAACAAAGGGTTTGGCCAAACCCCCTAGAACCGGCAGAATCCCACCACTAGTGACATGGTAGCAGTGTTCCAATATTTGCAAGAAGTAATGGATGGAAACTTACCAACAAGAGACCCAACTTAGAACTAAGGAGAAATTTCCTGACAGTGAGAATAAGTAAACATTGGAAATGCTTTCCTTAAGAAGTTTTGATCTCTATCATTGGTGGCTTATAAGGAAAGATTGGACAGGCAATTGTCTGGCATGGCATAGGCTCTCCTGCTTGGGTAAGGGGTTGGACTGTTATATATTGAGATCTAGACAATTTTCTAAGCTGTACTTTGAGTTCATATTTATAACATTGACCATAACTGCAATGAGGATTGCACTTTCATATTAATTTAGGCCACTTGTCCTGTCCATAGACACTCTGCTTCTCTCTCCCTCCTTCTCTCTTTCTTTCTCTCTCTCCATTACTACCTATATACCTATATATTTATCAGTCATCTCCATGTAGGGAAACACTCACAATTTCCCCCCAGATATTTTCATCTTTGTCGTCCCTTCCTCGATCAGTGACAAGTACACATTTTTTCCTATGAATTGTAGTGGATTTCACCCTTGCTTTAATGAAAAAATGCCAGACTTCTAATTCCAAACCAATTCAAACCATTCTTTATTATGGTCTTTATGGGGCTCATTAATGAGAACAATGAGTCTGCTTACAGGAAGGAAGCACAAGGGCTGACATTGTGGTGTAATGAAAATAATCTCACACTTAACACCACAAAAACTAAAAAACTTATAATTGACTTCAAGAGGAAGAGAGATGTACATCTACCATTGTACATAAATGATGAGGAAGTGGAGAGGGTGGGTAGTTTGAAATTTCTGGGCATTTATATCTTGGAGGATCTCTCATGGACTATAAATGCTAACATGCTTGTGAAGAAGGCACAAAAGAGGCTGTACTTCCTGAGAATGCTCAGGAAGTTAAATCTATCTCAGCATCTACTTCTGTCCTACTATCGCAGCACCATTGAGAGTGTCCTGAAATACGGCATTCTTGCATGGTATGGGAGCAGCTCTGTAGTGGACAAAAATGCTCTACAGAGAATCATTAAAACTGCCCAGAATATCATCAGACTCCAGTACCAGCCCTGGACAACATCTTCGAATCTCGCTGTTTGAGAAAGTTGCATAACATTCTCAGAGACTCTTTCCATCTTGCTTACAATCTTTTTTGGACTGTTGCCTTCTGGCAGAAGATACAGAACAATTAAAACTCGGACCACACATTTTCTGAATAGCTTTTATCCCAGAGCTATAATTGCACTCAACAATGAACTAAAGGGCCACCATCAGTGAGCTGTTGGACAGTATTACTTGGTCTGTTGTGTGGATGTTTGGGTGGTTTGGGGGTGGAGAATTGTGGTGGGTGGGAGTGTGTTTGGGGATTGTTATGTGTGTTGGACCTGTCTTTGGGTGTTAAGTGAATTTCGTTGTATGGGTATACTGTGTACACGTATACCCATACACGTACAATGACAATAAAGTTATTTCTTTTTTTTGGTCAGCACAACTTTGAATAAAGGATGAAGCAGAAGGAAAATACATTTAATTTAATTTCATCAAATTTTCCATATTACTGAAATCTGAAAACAGGTTTCAATGAAGATAGATTTATGGACAGAAAATAAATGGCTATGACCCAGTATGAAAGTCTACTGTAAAATGCAGCTAAATGTATGGGATTCACAAACCCAATAGGTTTTCATTTCGAAGAAGCCTAACAAATTCGAAACTGATATCCTATAATACTATGTTAAACATATATTCATCAAATGGTAATTAGCCTTTTACTATATTTAAGTAGAGCTTTATGAAAGAATCTTGGAAAATGGTAAAAATGTGGCAACTTAGACTTAGAATAACTTTATTGTCACTTTAAATGTACAATAATCAGCATACATTAAAAGGAAATTTCATTGCATACAGCTCTCAGAGGGCCATAACTTCCAATATACACTAAATAAACAATACAAAATAAATAAATACAAAATTATGCATATACCCTCATAACCACATATATATTAAATGACACAGAGAAAAATACAGTGTAATTTGGATGTATACATATACACTTGGGGAACTAATTCCTCTTTATGAGTTGCTCTCTGTGGTTTAGTTCAGGTCTGAAAACAATGATGTAGCATTTTGGCAGAAATATGCATCCCAGTAATGCAGCGCTGGAGGCCAAGATGGAGAAGACCTCCACAGCTACCATAGCTTTGCCTTTTGTGCTCAGATAGGCTGGAAAGAAGGAGATCCACACACTGCAAAAGGCCAACATGCTGAAGGTGATGAACTTGGCTTCATTAAAGCTGTCAGGTAATTTACGGGCAAGAAAAGCCACAATAAAGCTGGCAATGGCCAAGATACTCATGTAGCCCAAGACACAGTAGAAGAATGAAGCTGACCCTTCATTGCACTGTAAAATCATTTCTTGGAGCGCTGAGTGCATGTCCAACTCAGGGAATGGGGGAAATGTCGACAACCAAAGGATACAAATCCATACTTGGATGATGGAGCATGAAAAGACAATAGAAAAGGCCAATCTTTTCCCCACCCATCTCCTCATCTGAGATCCTGGTTTAGTGGCCATGAAAGCAACAACCACAGTGATGGTTTTGGCCAGTACACTAGAAATGGCCACTGAGAAGGTGACACCAAACATTGATTGTCGGAGAAGGCAGGTCAGTTTGCCAGGCTGGCTGAGGAAGAGTAAAGAGGAGAGAAAACAGAGCTGAAGAGAGACAAGCAGGGTGTAGGTGAGGGACCTGTTGTTGGCTTTGACAATGGGAGTATCCCTGTGCTTAATAAAAGTTCCAAGTACCCAAGATGTCAAGAAGAAGAAACCAAGAGCTGCTGAGGATAAACCAATTCCTAAGGTTTCTTCAAAGGTTAGAAACACCACCACTTTCTGGATACATCCTTTCTTTTTCTTATTTGGATAATGATCTTCTGAACATTCAAAACAGTCATCCATATCTGGAAGGAAAATCAAGGAATTTGTCACCTAAACATTCCAGATTATTGAAAATCAACCTTATTATGCATCAAAGTAGTTAATTAAAGTTTGCTTAAGTTTAATGAAATGGTAGAATTTCTACCCTACCGTTTTGATTTGAAATTTTCCCTTCTGGACATGGAACACAGTCATAGCAGCAGAATTGATCCCCTTCAATCCCTTTCTTCCAGGATCCAGAGAAACAAGGATCATTACATCTAGAAAGTGGATGAGCCTGGCAATAGTCATGAAAGGGTTTGAAATTGGAGATACTTAAAACAGTATGTAATTTTTGTCCTTTACAGAGGGAAAGTATTTTTGACTTCCCCCCAAAATACTGAATTCATCAACTTCATCAACAATTTAGAAAGATGTAGAAATTACAATGATGTACAAAAGGTTATGTTTGAAGGGCAAGGTGTTTAAAAAATTTAACAGGGTAACAATGTCATGGAAACATGGCCACTCTTGTGATTATAAGTGGAAATGCAAATGAAATATGCAAGCATGCTTTTGTATGGTAATGTCATTTTATCAATTTAACAAATGTTTGATCCTCAACAACATTTGAAAATAATATGCCATTGTTTATTTAAAACAAAACAGAAATCAGATTTCTAAACAGACTGCATTCAATATGGGCTCATAATGGATTAATCATAGCCAATTCAGTAATTTGATACCTGGTTAAAAGCTGGGTGCCAGATAATTGCATCTTCATCAATGAATAATTCTGTCCCCTTTGGAGCCTGGAGATCCATCTTTCCAACTCTAACTCTCTGAAAGGATCTATTTGGAAAGGTGATCAAGTTGGTGATATCGAATCCACTTGTTGCTTCCCCTTTCTCATTCAGGAACACTCTCTCCCCAGCTGAATTGTTAAAGGAAATGCCTTGAAGAAATGAATGGAGCTACTTGAAAGAGAATGAAAGAGACAGGGGATTGAATACAATGTAGTAGAGAGCTGGACACTGTATTCAAGTTTCATTGATGCATTTATTTCATTCCTATAACAATTATTAAATATGTACACTTAGATATTTGGTAATTGATATTTCATAGAAATGTACATGGCTACTCTAGCATTAAATTGATATTATTTTAAGGAACCAAAACAGAATGAAGGTAGGTTATTGGGATTTATCAAATCCGTTCAATTATTTAAACAATAATGAAACCTTAAACATAGTTAATCTTCCCTCAGTGGTATAAATATATTTGATAATCTGAAATATTACAATTTTCCTTTAGCCAGATTTGAAAATTTGAGACTCATTCTTCAATAGATAGATGTAAGATGGAGATTATTGCAAAGAATGGATTATTGATGGACAGACAGAGAGACATACAGGCAGATAGGTGATAGATAGATTGATGGTAGATTAATGATAAATAGATGATAGATGATAGATAGATAGATAGATAGATAGATAGATAGATAGATAGATAGAAAGATAGAAATAATAATAATAATAGTAATAGTAATAGTAATAATAATAATAATAATAATAATAATAATAATAATAATAATAAACAATTAAATTCTCCCAAAGAATTCAGGGTGGTGTACAGCCATAATAAAACAACATGAAATACAAAATTTAAAAGCAATTTAAAAACGAATTAAATATTTTGGCCCCACAGTTAAAAACCCAAAATTAAAACACCCAGTCCAAATTCTTATTAAGCCAGTCCAGCCTGTTGAAATAGTAGAGTCTTAAGCGCACGGCGAAAGATACATAGGTCGGGAATCGTACGTATCCCCGGTGGCAGTTCATTCCATAGGGCGGGTGCCCCCACAGAGAAGGCTCTCCCCCTGGGGGTTGCCAGTCGACATTGTTTAACTGACGGCACTCTGAGGAGTCCCTCTCTGTGGGAGCGTATCGCAATCGGTGGCAGAAGGCGATCCCGTAAGTATCCGGGTCCTAAGCCATGGAGCGCTTTGAAAATGGTAACCAGCATCTTGAATCGCACCCAGAAGACCACCGGGAGCCAATGCAGCTCACGCAGGAGAGGTGTCACATGGGTGCATTGTGTCGCTCCCATAATCACCCGTGTGGCCGCATTTTGGACCAGTTGGAGCCTCCGAGTGCTTTTCAAGGGGAGCCCCATGTAGAGAGTGTTACAGTAGTCCAGACGGGATGTAATGAGTGAGTGACTGTGTGCAAGGCATCCCAGTCCAGAAAGGGACTCAACTGATAAATCAGGCGAACCTGATAGAAAGCCCCCCTGGCAACAGCCATCATATGATCTTCCAAAGGCAGCTGTGCATCCAGGAGGACACCCAAATTGTGAGCCCTCTCTGAGGTACTAATGGCACTTCACCCGAAAACCACAGATGATCTCCCCCAGCATGATACCATGGTCGATGGTATCAAAAGCCGCTGAGAGGTCTAATAGGACTAGGACAGAGGAGAACCCCCTGTCCCGAGCTCTCCAGAGATCATCAACCAATGCGACCAATGCCGTTTCCATGCTGTATCCAGGCCTGAAGCCCGACTGGTACGGATCTAGATAGACAGCTTCATCCAGGTACCTGGGGAGCTGCTGCGCCACCACACTCTCAACAACCTTTGCCACGAAGCGAAGATTGGAGACTAGATGATAGTTTGCTAATATAGCCAGATCCAGGGAAGGCTTCTTGAGGAGGGGCCTCACCACCGCCTCTTTAAGGGCAGAGGGGAAGAAACCCTCACTCAAAGAAGTGTTAATAATCATCTGGAGCCAGCCTCATGTGACTGCCTGGGAGGCCAGCACCAACCAGGAGGGACACGGGTCCAATAAACATGTGGCAGAGCTCAGCCTACCCAGAATCCTGTCCACGTCCTCGGGAGTCACCGAGTCAAACTCCTCCCAGATAACACTCTCAAGACTCACCTCCATCACCTCATCTGAACCCACCCAATCGGAGTCCAGGCCTTCCCGAATCTGAGCGATTTTGTCATGCAGGTATTGCACAAAATCCTCAGCCCTATCCTGCAAGGGGTCTTCCCACACTCCCACCTGAAGTAGGGAGCGGATCACCCTAAACAGGGCGGGTGGGCAGTTCTCTGCAGACGCAATAAGAGCGGAAAAATAATTTGATTTTGCCACTCTTATCGCCACTAGGTAGACCTTGATATAGGACCTTACCAGTGTTCAGTCAGATTTGGAGCGGCTGGCCCTCCAATCACCCTCCAGGTATCTTTTCCGGTGCTTCATCTCCCTCAGATCCTCAGAAAACCAAGGAGCCAATCGGGATTGACACCGGGTCAGAGGCCGCAAAGGCATGATGCGGTCCAAAGCTCCAGCGGTCACCAGTTCTTCAGTCAAGTCGTGAGCCAGATAGATAGATAGATAGATAGATAGATAGATAGATAGATAGATAGATAGATATTGTTCCAAAACACAAATACCACTTCTGAAAAGAAACATCTTCTAATTCATTCCTCTTGAATTCTGACAAAGACAGAAAGCTCAGCTTCTCAATCCTGATAAATTCATGAGCCCGGAAGGAGTAGTTGGAGAACTGATTATTTTTGGAGGAGACAATGAAAAGTAACCTAAATTATCATTTTAAATATCTCTTATTGTACAAACTATGATGATTTCCTAGATAGCTCTTACTGATACCTAAACATGATAAATGGTAGCGAAGGGAACTAGAGGGTCAGCCACACTAGGTGGCTTCAGTGGCTAAGACACTGAGTTTGTGGATCAAGAAAGGTTGGCAGTTTGGTGGTTCAAATCCCTAGTACAGATCTCCTATGTGAGCAGGGGGTTGGACTAGATGACCTCCAAGGTACCTTCCAACTCTGTTACTGTTATTTACACTGGACTTAATTCTCATTAAGAAAGATGAAATGAAAGAAGGCGTTGTAGGTACAGGAATGTTATGTGGGAGTAATCATGCAATACTGGAATTGAATGTTCTGCAAGCAGAAGAGAATTGAATGTTCTGCAAGCTAGACCTTTAGACTTCAAGATAGCTGATTTCAACAAATTTAGAGCTTGTAAGAGATTCCATGGATTAGAATTCTCAATGTGAAAACAACCTAAGAAGCTTGGAAAACTTTGAAAAGTGAGATTATAAAAGCCCAGTCTAGCACAATTCTAATGAATGAGAAAAATAAATTCTCAAAAGAAATCAGTATGGCTGCACAAAATAATATCTGATAAACTGAAGGAGAAAAAGGACAAGTGTAAAAAGATGAAGGGAGGGGAAAATAACCAAGGCAGAATATCAACAAATAGCTTAAACTTGCAAAAGTGAAGTCAGGAAAACTAAGGATCAAAATAAACTACTTTTTCTGTGTCTATTTTATACAGAACAGAATAACAGAGATGAAAGGGATCTTGGAAGTGGTCTAGCCCAATACACTGCTCTAGGAGAAGACCTTATAAAATTTTAAACAAATCACTATCCAATCACTTTATAAAAATCTCTGTTGGAACTTCCATAACTTCTAAAGGCAAGCTTTTCCACTAATTGATTATTCTCACTGTCAGGAATCTTCTCCTTATTTCTAGATTGTTTCTCATACTTAACTTGATTCCACACATAGAATATAGTAAGACTTTCCACAGTAGGTTCAAAAGAAAATTCTACATCAGACTGCTCATTGAAATGAAAGAAGTATCCGATGCAAAGGGAATACCTGCCAAGCTTTAAGATATGGATAGCCAGTTTTTTTACCAATCATAGTTTTTTTTCTATTGAAATACAATATGTAGAGAGCTTGCAAAGCATAAGCCACAGAATAAACAGCATTGTAGACACTGTAGCTGTGGCCAGTCATTTCTATTTCAAACAAAGGCGCAGGAAGATCTTCTAACTTCTTCTGCCCAGTGCATGGCTTACTAGGCATTTCTTCTAATTCTGGTTTTGGAAATGTACAATCAAACGCTTGTTCCCAAACTTCCTGCAGAAATCCATCTCTGGAGACTGAAAGAGGATTTACAGTCTGAAGAAATTCCTTGAAACCTTCAACTGCTCTTGAATGAACAGTGAAGGAAATAGCCCCATGGAACATCTGGAGATCCCACATGATTTGAAATCCTGATAAAATGAAATCAATCTGTGCAGTCATGATCCACACCTTCCTAAACAATGCAATATCCTTGCTTTCAGGATCTACTATAAATGGAATAAATCTTAGCCAAGTAATTGCCCAGGATTCTCCGTAGACAAGAAATGCATTTGCTTTGCTATTCATCATATTAATAGAAATTGTTGAGAATGTTTGATAAATTTCTTCGAAATCTTCCACGTCGGTTTGTTGTGAAAGCCTTTCTATGAATGCTGGACAGATTCCATTCTGTGAAAGTAAGGGCTGCATTTTCTGTAAGAAATTTTCTCCATTGTGGTTATCAACAGAAAAAATCCCAATCCATGTCCAACTGAAATGATGAAGCAGTTGGATAATCCCAATATACTGATGGTCCTCTTTTGGGACCATGGAATAAAGTGAAGAGAGTTTACTGGTCTGAAATTCCTTTTGGCCTAATGAGCCATATGTCAGCTATAAGAAAGTGGAATAGAATTCTGTTGAAATATTAAGTCAAAACTATTGCTTCTTATCTAGATTTCTTATGAAATACATTCAAGGAACATTTCCCCCTAGAATTCTTCTAAATATTAATATCAAAAATAATTGCTTGGAATTATTTCAAAGACATATAAGAGATCAATACATTCAAAGAGTATACTACATGCAAATATTCACCGAATGACTCTGGATACTTACTCCCTATATTTGGCAATGTAGTTTCAGAAAAAAAAAATGCTAAGTAATAGATCTGACAACATCGTACCACAAACCCAAGCCTAATCTTTGATGCTCATTAAATATTTCTTAATATATTTATATATTTTCCACAACCCCATCACAGCTTACTTGTGGAATCTTGAAGAATCCTATGATTTCAGCTATGTAAGATGATGTGTCAAAATCCAATCCTCCAATGATAGCCATGAGAGTCTTCTGGCTTTCACATTTGTAGTTAGGGAGAAATTCCTGGGATTTGAAAAGCAGGTCCAGAGTGGTGCGATAGGTCATCCTTGCATTGAGGTAACTGTCATAGATGTGGAACCCAAGAGTGACGTTAGGTAAGATCTGGGAGTCCTCATTGATCTCCTTCACAGCAAAGGCCAAGGCAAGGATGTGTTGATGAAATTTGGTGGTTACACTGCAAATAATTTAATTATTCTACTTAAAAATATAAGTTGACAATTCTTACAAGGAGGCATCTTTTCTGTATAAATAACAAACATTTCTTTCTCTAATAGTAATAGAAAAGTAACAGCCTTTCTAAAATTCTTAATAATTTCTACAGAGGTGTCCTTGATGTTCTCTGAGCTTGGTTTCTTTCTTGCAGGTATTTCATTACCCAAAGTAGGTAACATCGTCCTAATTTAGCACTGAGGATGGTATCTAGTTTGGATAACGAAATCTCTGCAAGAAAACAACCAATGTCACCAAAGACCCCTCATTTCAACCCTGAACTAAAATATTGTCCTGTATTGGTAATTTGTATCGAGTTCAAATTTACTTTTTACACAGTATTTCCATAATGTGCAACAAAAATATACAGCAACAAATACAAGTAGTACTACATTTATTTTCTATGAGATTTTCACAAAAAATTATATGAATACTCATGTGTACTACTCAGTTACTATATGTATCTTTTGTGAAAACAGATAATGCCAAACCTTTTTAAAAATTACCTTAACCTCAGTATATGTTCAATAAGAGACTTCTTGATTTGAAATTTTGTACTTTTCACGTGAAAGTCTTTAAAATAAAGACTTTAAATAAAGAAAGAAGATTATTTCTTCTGCCAGAACCAGATGCATTTGAAAAACATAGAAAGTATAGATTACATTAAAAGAATTATATATGCACAAATAGCTTTTACTCATATAAGGTTTTTTTGGGAGATCTGGCTAAGATTAGATAGCAAAAAAATCCTTACACTGGTATACCATAAGGTGTTATGGCAGGGTTTTCTTTAAATTTACTTTCAATAGAGTGGTAGAGGAGGTGAGACACCATCCCACCAATGATGAAGTCTCCAGGCTCGTACCACTCATGTGGAACAAGAAAAGCATCACTTGCAGAGCAGCTAAAAGTACCTACTCTATGCACCAAAAACATCAGGAGAAACATATGGATGCTTTTGTTATTGTGCAGATGTTTTGTCTTCCATCCTACCAATTGGAAAGTATAGATAATCCAATACTTCATCTAAAGATTATATTTGAGAATGCAATTAATGAGAAAAATCTGTCATTTTCTATTTGAAGATCCACATGAGCGTAAATTTGTATCTTGTATACTGCCAGGATTTGAACAGATATTCTGGCAGAAGAGAACAGAGGGTAGAGACTTGAAGTAATTAATCTGTCAGAGCTCTTATTACCCCTTGTGACAATCTCTCAGTGGTTCAAGACTTGTTTTCTAGCCAAACAAATACCTAGATTCTGTGCAGCCTTATATTTATATTTAGCTGAGAAAATATGGTAATTCCTCTAGGAGATTTTTTGTTTTTGTTTTGATCAGGCAATAAGTGGCTGATAGATCAGCTTCTTGAGCAAAGGCCAATGAAAGTAACCTATGGAACACTTGCAATAGAATATATATTTAATATATTTATATATTTAATATATATTAATAATATATATTAAATAATATATATATTTATATATTTAATTGTCAAAAATGTAGAAATAAAAATAATGTTTTTTTTTCAATGTACCACATTTATTTTCCACATATATTACCACATATATTCCAAATATATTACCACATATTTCACAAAATAAAATATGAACAGATCTGTCATGCTCCCATCAGAGCCTGAATCTGCAGAGGAAGATGGCCAGAACTGAATTCGACAGAGATCAAGGGGGCGCCTTTGTTGGCTTCAGAGGTAAATGGGGTGGAGCAGGCCAAGTCAGGCCAAGGCCTTTCAGGATTGGGATGGCTTATAGGCAGGGAGGAAAGAGGGCAGGACGACCAAGAGAGGCTAAGCGGTGAACATGAGAGACAGAGGTCAGGTGATGACCAAGGACCAACCCCTCCTGATCCTCAAGCATGGAGAGTGGAGAGAAGGTGAGAATAGCGCAGACTGACCTGATTACTTGGGAGGAGAGCATCCCGCCCCTCTTCACAAGGCACACCTGTGGACTGAGACATAAGGAGACACTGTGGGGAGAGGTATTTGTCAGGAAGAAATGCTGAATTCCGGAAGTGTTGAGTGCCATTGCGACGTTTGAGGTTTCCTGGATTTCCTGCTTACTTCTTGGCTTCCTGGATGAATTGCCTTGCTCCTTTGCTTCCTGGACTCATTGACTTGTCCTGATGGATGTATTGCTTTGCAGCCATTATGCTCACAGCATTGAGCTGGACTACTTGTAGCCAGAGGCTACTGAAGGAGTGTGTGTGTGTGTGTGTGAGTGTGTGTGTGTGTGTGTGTGTGTGTGTGTGGTCACTTTGCTCTGGGACTTGCCAGAAAAATGGGAGGATTTGGGGGAATTTGTAGCAATAAAAGGGCAGTTTGAACTGCCAGTTGCCTGTGTTACCTCTGACTGTGCCCCAGGACATCACAAGATCCAGTAGGTATTGTTGTGACTCCGACCCCTGAGCCCATCTTATCGGAGGGAGAAGACTCCGAAAGTGAAGGAGAGGAGTTGGCAAGGCCTCCCTCTCCAGGACCCTCCTCTCTGGCAATGCCTCAGGTGTCTTCTGAAGGAGAAGAGATAGGCCAGGAGCCAGGCATTTCCGAGCAGCTGCAGTTAGACAGCGACGGAGATAAGTCTTGGCTGGATCCCCGACAGTGTCGGAAAGACAAGCGCATGCAGCAGAGAAGGAGGCGTGCCAGAGATTAAGCTGAGTCACTGGACCACACCCCACAGGGAATAAAAGGGGGTGTGATGGACCATTCAGGCTTTGTGATGGACAAACTGAAAGCTAGCAAGTCATTCTGCATTTCTGGAACTTTGTTATAAGCTCTGCTTGGACTGATTTTTTGGACTGGATTTGACTATTCTTTTGCTTTTGTGGACTTTGATGTTTTCGGTCGGAGGAGATAAACCTCCCTTTGTAAGTAAAAAACTGTTGGCAAGCAGCCACTGGGTTGCTGCCAATTCTGTTATCAAAGGAAATTCTTGTCTGCTGGTTTATTTTAACTCTTGGTTGACTGCTGGTGTGCGTGTCTGAGACGGGGACAGAACAGGTATCAGTCATTTATTGTACGTATTTTTTTCAAGCAGTAAAAATGCAGAACATAAAAAATCACTCCAAGCTCACTAAAAATCTTCCAAAGATTCCTTTTACTGAAGTTTCATACATTCTATTGCAAACATTTTAACATAACCTAAAGCAGGGGTCCCTAACCCCTGGTCCTGGCACGCCAGAAACTGGATTGCACAAACAAGCAAAGCCCCATCCATGGGATGCAGGCAGCATGTGAAACCATGTCCCACCGGTGGTTGTGGACAAAATCTTTTCCTCCATGTTATTTTCATGTTTATGACGTCTCTCTCGGCTCTCTGGTCCACGTCTGGGCATTGGAAAGATTTAAGGTTGAAAACACCAACACGAAACAACAGCTTGGGGAGTCAACGGTTTATTCTTCGCACCAACCGGCACCAGCAAACTCCGAGCTCATGCAGGTGAAATAAAGTCAGCTCTGGGTTTTCTATCTGCCGAGTTACTTTTAAAGATACCGCTCAACTGCGCCTCGCTCCCCACCCCCCTAATTGTGCTTCACAGCTGATTCTGATTTTCAGGAGGGCAAAGCAATCCATGGAGTATTATTTATTATTTATTTATTTATTTATTTATACTTATATGCCCCCCTATCTCTGAAAGGACTCAGGGCGGCTCACAACAATAAAACACACAAAGTTCAATTTTAAAAAAATATCCAATAAAACTCTAAAAACCATTAAAATCCCCTCTAAAACCCCTTCAGTCCAAGCCAGCCAGGTGGAATAGCCATGTTTTAAGGCCACGGCGAAAAGAGCGAAGGTCAAGGGCCACCCGGAGCCCCGGGGGAGCTGATTCCACAAGGTAGGTGTGCCCACAGAGAAGGCCCGCTCCCTAGAGGTCGCCAACTGACATTGTCTGGCCGATGGCACCCCAAGGAGGCCCTCCCTGTGGGAACGCACCGGGCGATGGGGAGCAGTCGCTGGCTGCAGATACCCTGGGCCTGAGCCATGTAGGGCTTTATAGGTGATTACCAGCACCTTGAATATCCTTTGGCTTCCATTGCTGTGGCTGGTAATCATGGTTTCTATGTGAGTTGCTGAGCTCCACAGCCTAACCGCTTCTAGCCACCACCATTATGAATAAACAAGCCTAAACCCGCCACCATTGCTAAACCCGAATAGTGTGGTGCTTGTCTTTAGTTAACATGGCTCCGGCGAACACTTGGGATTGTCTCTCACATCCGATGAGAGTATCGAGCAGCACCGAAAGCGGGCTTGACACTCTCCCTCTATCACAGGGGTGTCAAACTCAAGGGCTGTGGGCCGGATCTGGTGCACGGGGTGCTTAGATCTGGCCCGTGGGACTGCCATGGAAACAATGAAGGACCAGCCCGCAATGACTCTGCTTGGAGGTCTTCTAGTCCAACCCCCCCACCCTTGCTCAAGCAGGAGATCGTATACCATTTCAAACAAATAGTTGTCCAGTCTCTGTTTCAAAGCTTCCAGTGATGAAGTACCACTGACGTCTGAAAGCAGTTATTCCGTTAGTTGATTGCTCTCACCATTAGGAAATTTCTCCTTAGTTTTAAGTTGCTCTCTCCTTGATTAGTTTTCATCCATTGTTTCTTGTCTTGTGTTGCCTTCTGGTTCTTTGGAGAATAGGTTGAACCCCGTATTCTTTGTGGCAATCCCCCAAATATTGGAATATTGTTATAATGTTACCCCATTCCTTCTTTTTACTAGATTAGGCACACCAAAATCCTGCAACCGTTCTTCATATGGTTTTGCCTCCAGGCCCCAATTATATTTATTGCTTTTCTCTGCACTCTTTCTAGAGTGTCAACATCTTTTTAATAGTGTGGTGACCAGAACTGGATACAGTTTTCCGAGTGTGGTTTTACTGAGGCTTTCTAAAGTGATACTAGAACTTCATGTGATCTTGATTCTATCCCTCTATTAATGCTTTCTAGGATTGTATGGCGTTGTTGTTTTTTGCCTGGGAAAATTTCATTTCAATAAATTTCCCATATTATTAATACCTAATAACAGTTTACAGTGGAAATAGATTTATGGGTAGAGAGTAAATGGTTATGACCCAGTATGAAAGCCTTTTTTTAAAAAAAAAGACAGTTAAATATTCAGAATTCACAAATACAATATATATTACATTTCAAAGAATTCTAACAAATCCAAACTAATATTTTTATAACACTGTTTTAAATATATATTCATAAAATGGTAGTCAGCTTTTGACTATATTTGTATAGTGCTTTAGGAACTGAAAGTATAAAACCCATGAAAACGTCGCTGCAAATATTGGACATCATTTGAGTCAATATCTGATATATCCGAACAGCAAGAAAAGAAAACTAGATCAAAGTCAAGTTCAACAGCAGTGTTGAAAGGGAGAATGGATTTGGTTAAAGAATCTTGGACAATGATGGAAATGCAGGAACATGAGCACTTACTTTGGAATGGGCTTAAATATGAATGGATCTTAAATACCCTACATAAATCCTTCCTTGACAGGAAAAAAAAATCTATATTCCTATAGGTTTAATAAATACTTCCATAGACAGCAAACAGTTTTTTTCTATTCTTTTTTTCAGCAATTCTTTTATCCTTCTTTGACCAAATAACAACAACAACAACAACAACAACAACAATTGTTCCTAAAACTTTAGATATGTTTCTTAAAGACTGCATGCTTTCTATTACTTTTTTCAGCAATTTCTCTGAGCCAGAAATATCACATTATATATTAATTTCTCTTTGTGAGTTGCTCCCTATGGTTGAGGTTAGGTCTGAAAACAATGATGTAGCATTTTGGGAGGAATATGCATCCCAGTAATACAGCACTGGAGGACAAGATGGAGAAGACCTCCACAGCTACCATGGCTTTGCCTTTTGTACTCAGATAGGCTGGAAAGAAGGAGATCCACACACTGCAAAAGGCCAACATGCTGAAGGTGATGAACTTGGCTTTTATAAGCTTCATTAAAGCTGTCGGGTAATTTACGGGCAAGGAAAGCCACAATAAAACTGGCGATGGCCAAGATACCCATGTAGCCCAAGACACAATAAAAGAAGAAAGTTGACCCCTCGTTGCATTGTAAAATCATTTCTTGGAGCTCTGAGTGCTTGTCCAACTCAGGGAATGGGGGAAATGTCGACAACCAAACAATACAAATACATACCTGGATAATAGAACAGGAAAGTACAATAGAAAAAGCCAATCTTTTCCCCACCCATTTCCTCATATGAGATCCTGGTTTCGTGGCCATGAAAGCCACAACCACAGTGATGGTTTTGGCCAGTACACTAGAAATGGCCACTGAGAAAGTGATGCCAAACATTGATTGTCGGAGAAGGCAGGTCACTTTGCCAGGTTGGATGAGGAAGAGCAATGAGGAGAGAAAACAGAGCAGAAGAGAGACAAGCAGGGTGTAGGTGAGGGACCGGTTGTTGGCTTTGACAATGGGAGTATCCCTGTACTTAATAAAAGTTCCAAGTACCAAAGATGTCAAGAAGAAGGAACAAAGAGCTGCTGAGGCTGAACCAATTCCTAAGGTTTCTTCAAAAGTTAGAAAAACCAACAGTTTCAGGATACAGCCTTTCATTTCTTTATTTGGATAATGATCTTCTGGACATTCAAAGCAATCGTCCATATCTGGAAGGAAAATCAAAGTATTTTTTTCATCTAGGCATTCACCAAGGCTGAGAGGTCCTTGGTGCTCTCTGAGCTTGTTTGTTCTCTTGCAGACGTTTCATTACCCCAAACTAGATACCATCACAATGTTAGTAAGGAGTGCTCCTTGCTCTCAGTTCATATTCTGGTGTCTTGCCTGTCTATGTGGATGGGGACGTCTTAGAGAGTCTTTGGGCTGTTTACTGCTGGCTCTTTGGCAGTTTCCTGATTGGGGTATTTTTTTACTTGATTGTTGGTCTGAAGTTATCCTTGGAGTTAATCTATGCTGATTTGGGTGCTGATTACTGGTGAAGAGGTGCTGTAGTTTTTTTTTTTTGTTCTCTTGTGGGCTGGATGATTGCCTCTTTTGCATAGTCTGTAGATGTTGTTAATGTCTATGTGTTTATTGATGGCTGATTTGTCAGAGTGCCAGTTGTCTAGAAATTCCCTGGCATTTTTGGACTTGGCCTGGTCTAGGATGATCACATTTTCCCAATTAAAACTATTGTTAAATCTTTCAATATGTTGTAAAATTAAAGAATTTTCTTCATATCTTCTGATCGCTAGTTGGTGTTCATGGATGCATTTGGCCAGTCTTCTGCCTGTCTGTCCTACATATGGTTGTTGCAGTTCTTACATTATATGTTTACACGACTCGTGTTTTTCTTCTGGGGTTTCTCTATCTTTTGGTTTGCTCAGGATGTTTTGAAGTGCTTCAGTTGGCTTGTGTGCTACACTGATTCCATGTGGTTTTATAGTCCAGGGGTCTCCAATCTTGGCAACTTTAAGCCTGGCGGACTTTAACTTTGCTGGCTGGGGAATTTTGGGAGTTGAAGTCTGCCAGGCTTAAAGTTGCCATGGTTGGAGACCCCTGGTATAGTCTGTTCATGCCTTTTGAGATATTCTTGATGTATGGCAGTATAATTCTTTTTAGTGTTTGTGTTGGTTGTGCTACATTGGATTGAGTGGTAAGGGACATTTTGATAAAGTTGTGTGGGTGTATATTTTGTTGCAACGTGTTGTATAGATGCTCCATTTCCCTTTTCTGTTTTTCTGGGTTGCAGAAGTGTGTTTGGGCTAGATTAAATAAAGTCCTTACACTGGATATCCACACAACTGACAACAAACAGCATTCCTTACTCACACTGATGATGTTACCTAGTTACGGTAATGAAATAATTGCAAGAAAACAAGCAAGCTCAGAGAGCACCAAGGACCCCTCATTCCAACCCTGAGCTACAAATATTCTCCTTTATTCCATTTTATTGAAAATCATCTTATTTATTTATTTATTTAATTTGTATACTAATTTAATTTGTATCTTATTAATTTTATGCATCCAAGTAGGTTATTAAAGTTTGCTTAAGCCTAATGAAGTCTGGAAGAATTCCTAGCCTACCATTTTGATTTGAAATCTTCCCTTCTGGACATGGAACACAGTCATAGCAGCAGAACTGATCCCCCTCAATCCCCTTCTTCCAGGATCCAGGGAAACAAGGGTCATTGCATCGAGAAAGTGGAGGAACCTGGTGAAAAGCATAAAAGCTTTTGAAATTGGTGAGTTTTAATTTTTCTCCTTTATGGAGGGGAATTATTTTTTATTTGGCAAAGGATAGATCAAAAGATGTAGGAATTTTAAAAAGTAGAAATTACTATGATGTACAAAATTTTCTGTTTGAAGGGCAGAGTGAGAAAATAATAACATTTGATGACAATCTCATGAAAAATAATACTGAATTTATTAATTTCATCCACAACTTAAAAAGATGTAGAAACCACAATGATGTAGAAAAGGTCCTGTTTGAAGAGCAAGGAGAGGAGATAATTGCACAGGGTGACAATTTCATGGAAACATGGCCAATCTTGTGATTTCAAATGGAAATGCAACCCAAATATGCAAAGATAGCTTTTTGCATTGTGATATCATTTTGCCACATTGATGAGTGCTGGATCATCAACAAAATTTGAAAATAATGTGCCATTCTTTATTTAAAAAAAAAAACAAAAACCAGATTTCTAAAGGGATTACATTCAATATTGGAATATAATGGATTAAAGCATGTTTGATACAATAATTCAAACCTCATTAAAAGTTGGGTTCCAGAAAATCACATCTTCATCAATGAATAATTCCTTCTTTTTTGGAGCCTCTAAGTCCAGCTTTCCAATTCTAACTCTCTGAAAGGATCTGTTTGGAAAAGTGATCAAGTTTGTGATGTCGAATCCACCTGTTGCTTCTCTTTTCTCATTCAGGAGCACTCTCTCCCCAGCTGAATTGTTGAAAGAAATGCCTTGAAGAAATGAATGGAGCTACTTGAAAGGAATAGAAAATATAGACAATTGAAATCATTCTTTGATAGATAAATGAGAAGCAGAGACTATTGCAAACATAGAGTTGTTTCAAACTATGCAAGCCACATCTAAGAAGGACCACGACTTCATTGCTCTAAATCTGTGATAGAGACAGAAAGCTCAGCTTGTCACTCATGAAAAGTTAATAAGTAATTACTTATTGGAGTATGATATGGCAGAGGAAGTAGTTAAAGAACCGATGTTAGCATGGGCCAAAAATATGGGACAGAATATAAATCTGAACGAATGGGATTCAATATGGAATAATAATCTTAAAATGACAAAGGCGACGGCTTATAAGGAAAACCAATACAAGCTGTTTTATAGATGGCATATGGCCCCAGCTAGGATAGCGAAGATCTACCCCAATTCGAGCCCTAAATGTTGGAAATGTGACCATCAGCAGGGTACCTTTTATCATTGCTGGTAGACATGTAATCAGGCACAAAAATTCTGGAGGATGATATGGATGTGGATTAGAGAAATAATAAAAGAAAATTTTGATTTCGACCCAAAAGCTTTTCTCCTGGGAATTTTGAAAACTGAATATGCAAAAAAGAAAAAGTATTTAATTATACATATTCTGACAGCCGCTAGAATTTCCTTTGCCCAGTATTGGCAAGAAAAACAAATACCACCTCAAGAACATGTTATTGGAAAAATATTGGAGTGCGCTGAAATGAACAAATTGACTTCAGAAATTAATGACAGAGAAGATTCAGAATTTTATAGCGTGTGGGACATGTGGTACGAATGGATGGGGAAAAGGAATAAAGAAGGTAATAGAGATTAAATATTAACTAATTAACAAAATCTATATGAATAGTATTATATTTAGTCTTAGAGAGTTGAGCACTATTATCTTTAAGTGTTTTGAAATTAAATCTAGCTTCAAGGAACAATATCAAATAAAAGACAAGTAATAATGCATGTAGATGTATATATGTATATAATTGCACCAATGAACCGAAAATGTACCGATTGTATCACTATATGTTATAATAAAAATCAAATTAAAAAAAAAAAGAAAAGAAAAGTTCATGAGCCACACAAAAGTTCTTGGTGAATTGATTATTTTTAGGAAGAGACAATGAAACGTAATGTAAAGTAACCTTTTAACTAACTCTTATTGTGCAATCTATGGTGATTTGTTAAATAACTCCTACTGATACCTAAATATTGATTTTTATAGCAGCTTCTGAGTGATCAGAATAGCAGAATACCTGAATGACAAAATAAGAACACAAACCAATTTTTCTGTATCTGTTTTATACAACACAAGAGAGTTGGAAGGGACCTTGGAGAAGGTCCAAGGAGAAGACCCTACAACAATTTAGACAAATGACTCTCATATCACTTCCTTAAAATCTCCAGTTATGTAGCACCCAGGATTCCTGAAGGCAAGTTTTTGCATTACTTCATTGTTCTATCAAGACATTCTTTCTTATTTCTATGTTTTTCTCATAATTAACTTGATTCTACATGCAGAAAATATTAAGACTTTTCCGGAATGGGTTCAAAACATAATTCTACATCAAACTGCTCACTGAAATAAGAGTCCAATTCAAAGAAAATACCTGCGAGGGCTGCAGATTTGGAAGATCAGTTTTTTTACTCATCATACTTTTCTTCCAATTGAAACCCAACATGCGTAGAGCCTGCAAAGCATGAGCCACAGCATAAACAGCATTGTAGATACTGTAGCTCTGGCCAGTCATTTCCATTTCAAATACAGGCCCAGGAAGATTCTCCAGCTCATCTCCCCAGTGCACTGAGTATTGTCCATTGCTTGTAACTCTGCTTTTGGAAATGAACAATCAAATGATTGTTCCCAAACATATTGCCGAAACCCATCTCTGTAGTCTGAAAAAGGATTTATGGTCTGAAGAAACTCCTTGAAACCTGCAACTGCTGTTGAGTGAACAGTGAAGGAAAGAGCCCCATTGTACATCTTCAGATCCCATGTGATTTGAGTGCCTGCTAATACAAAATCAATCTGTGCAGTCATGATCCACACCTTTCTTAATAATGCCATTTCCTTGCTTTCAGGATCTACCAGAAATGTTATTAATCTTAGCCATATAATTGTCCAGGCTTCTCCATAGACAAGAAACACATTGACTTTGCTATTCCTCATATTAATGGAAATAATGGAGATCATTTGAGAAAGTTCAAAGAATCTTTCCAAGTGGAGTTGTTGAGGAAGTTGTTCTATAAATGCTGAGCAGATTCCGTTCTGTGAAAGTAAGGGCTGCATTTTCTTTAAGAAATTTTCTCCATTGCTGTTATCAACTGAAAATATCCCAATCCACGTCCACTTGAAATGACGAAGTAGTTGGACAATCCCAATGTACTGATGGTCCTCTTTGGGGACCATGAAATATAGTGAAGAGAGCTTACTGGTCTGAAATTCCTCTTGGGCTAATGAGCCATATGTCAGCTGAAAGAAATTCCAGTAGTATTCTTTAGAGTCTTTAGATTAAATTTAATTTTCCTATCTTGTTTTTGTATAAAATATATCCAAGGAACATTTTTCCCCTAGCATTTTTTAAAGAATATACTAACAGATTTCTTGGACTAGAAGACCGCCAAGGTCTCTTCCAACTCTGTCATTCTGAGGATGTTCTCATTACGTGAAAACATTTCAAGGACATGTACTAGATCAACAGTTTTAAAAGAAGCCATTCAAATCTTCCCTCAGATATTGATTCTTGATACTCATCTCCTGTAACTGGCATTGTAGTTTCAGAAAAGAAGGCCAAGTAGTAGAACTTAAGCCATGTAGTATATCTTAATAGAAATACAAGCCTAATGTTTGATGCCCATTAATTATTCCATAACAACCATAAGATTAAGAATTTTCTTCTCAATCCCTTCAGAACTTACTTGTGGAATCTTAAAAAATCCTGTAATTTCAGCTATATAAAATGATGTGACAAAATCCAGTCCCCCAATGATAGCCATGAGAGTCTTCTGGCAATCACATTTGTAGTTAGGGATAAATTTTGGGGATTTGAAAAGCAGGTCCAGGGTGTTGCGATAGGTCTTCCTTGAATCATAGTAACTGTCATAGATGTGGAACCCAAGAGTGACATTAGGTAAGATCTGGGAGTCCTCATTGATCTCCTTCACAGCAAAGGCCAAGGCAAGTATGTGCTGGTAGAATTTGCTTATTACACTGCAAATGATTTAAATGCCCCAGTTGAAAAAGGAAGTTGGCAAATTCTCATAAGGTGGCATCCTTTCTATATGAAATAGTGAACATTTCTTTCTCTGATGAAGGTAGGAGAGTAATAGATTTTCTAAAATACTCAATAATTTGTACACTGTTCAAAATTGATTTTTTACATTATTTGCACGATTTGTAAAAAAAAAAATATCTGCTATAAGAAATAAAAATAATGCTTTTTTTGTGAAAACCTATTCATGGAATTCATTCCCTAACTTTCCCCCAAAAATGGTATATAAACAATTCCAGCATGTATCAGATTTATTTACTGAATGTGGGTTTTGCTCAGAGTGACAATACAGATTTTTTTTTTTAAAAAAATATTACCTTAGTACTAAATGTTCTTCAAAAGATGTTTTGCACCAAAGTTTCATACATTATAGGACAAACATTTCACCATAAAATAAAGAAAAAGGTTTATTTCATAACTAAAAACATTTGAAAGGTAGATTTAGATTGGATATAAAGCCTATATTTATACTGAGAACCTTTTACTCTCATAACCAATTTTTGGGAAACTGATTAACATTAGAAAAAGAAAAAAAAGAATCCTTACGTTGGTGTGTCATCAGATGTTTTATAAGGAGGTTCCTTAAAATTAATTTCATGAAGGTTGTAATAGGTGAGGGACACTATCCCACCAACAATGAGGTCACCAGGTTGGTACCACTCATGTGGAACAAGGAAAGCATCACTTGCAGGGCAGCTCAAAGTACCTACTTTATGCACCAGAAAAATCAGCAACATCTTCATTATTGACAATGTCTCTGTCTTTTTCATCCTATCCTACAGGAAAGGTCGTATTATTCCAATAGCTAATACAGTGATTAATTCAAGGTTTATATCTGAGTGTGCATCTAATCAGAAAATCCACCATTGGGTATTTGGAGATCCAGGAGAGTGCAAATTCGTGTCTTGAATAGCAACAGGGTTTGAACAAATATTCTGGCAGGGGAGAATAGAAGCAGGAAACCTGTAGCAATGACTGACACACAGCCATTATTATCTTTGTGTCAATCTCTCTGGGGTTCAAGATACATTGACTGTTGTTGAATTGAAATAACTTTCTCCACAGTCCTTGACGTTTTTGCCTAGTGAAGAAAATATGGTGATTCCTGTAGGAGATAATTATTTTGTTTTTGATGAAAGAATAAGTGTCTGATGTTTAAATTCTTATTGAAATACACAACGGCTAATAAAATGTACAGAGGGGAATGTACATTGTGTGTTGTGTGTTTCAACACAAAATACACTTCTTTTTTGAAATTTATGTTGTTTTTACTGGGAATGCTAAATGCAGTTCACCTTCCTTTGTACAGTATTAACATGCATAGATGTTTTGGCATTTCCTCATTTTAAGGAGTTTTCTATTATTTCCAGATCTCCCTAGAAGGTGTTTCACAATGTACCATAGAAAGTTTGCACCCACCCCTCTCCTAAAAGAATGAAATATCTTTTAATAGAAACTATTAAAAAGGCAGAATATTTTCTCTAAAACAGAAATAAAAATCTTAAGGAAACAGAAACTCAGCCTCAGCTCCCTGTCCCAAACAGATATTTTGGTGCCAGCCTATCTACAAAACAAAAAACTGGGCCAGCCTATCTACAAGACAAAGGGCCTTCACCCCAGGATATAATAGGATTAGCCCTCTACCCATCTTGCATCAGAACTAACCACATGGCACCAGGAGACATTACATCAGCCCAAGATTCAACCAAACTTGATTTTAACTGCCTACAAAGTTAGCTATGGCCCCTGCACAGTCCCCTGGGAGTCTGACAACAACTAATAGAATCCATTTCTTGCGTAGGAACAGGAGGTTCAGGGCAAAGCCCAAGAGAGGGTATAAATACCTCTCTCTCTCAACTCCATGTGTTCAGCTGCACCAGGCCTTCAAACCCATGTGGTCCTGTCCACCAATAAGCCATCTTTCCAATCAGCCTCCTTGTTTACAGTGTCTTTTTCCCCACTTGGAATTGATCCCAGATGGATATTGATCCAGCCATCTCATTCTCTGCCGTCCCCTTCTTCTTTTGACCTCAATCTTTCCCAGCATTAGGCTCTTCTCCAGTGAGTCCTTCCTTCTCATTAGGTGGCCAAAGTTTTTGATTTTCCTCTTTAGGATCTGGCCTTCTAAAGAGCAGTCAGGGTTGATCTCCTCTAGGACCGACCGGTTTGATTGCCTTGCAGTCCAAGGGACTCGCAGGAGTCTTCTCCAGCACCATAGTTCAAAGGCCTCAATTCTTTGGTGCTTAGCCTTCCTTATGGTCCAACTTTCACAGCCATACGTTGCAACTGGGAAAACCATAGCCTTGACTATACACACTTAACTATACGCACTATATAACTCAAAGGGAGATTGAAACAAAAAACTCTCCTGCCCAATTGATCCAGCTGGCTGAGTCCTCCACAAAGGATTTAGGATTCATGGCAATTTTAATAAACATAACAGGAAATGAATGCTTGATGGCATGGAAATGACATCCTTCTGTGTACCTGACTATGCAAGGACAAACTGGGTGGAATTTGGATCACAACTTCATCGTGCATGTTTCATCTTCTAATCCTTTTCATTTGCCACATCTGATTTATTCATTTTACTTTATTTTTATTTTACTTTACCTTATTTTATTTTATTTTATTTATTTATTTTACTGAATATTGAATTTACTATTTTTACAAATAACTCAATGTGGCAAACATATCCAGCTCACACCTTCCTCCTCCTATTTTCCTGACAGCAACAACCCTGTGAGGTCAGTTGGCAGAGGGACAGAGTGACTTGGCTCAATGTCAACCAGTTAAATTTCATGGCAGAACTTGAACTCATAGTCTCATGCATTCTGGTCAAGTGCCTTAACCACTAGACCAAATTAAAGTCCATTTAAAAAATAGAAATTATAGAGAATGTTCAATGAAAGGAGTAGTCTGGATTGCAAAGGCACAAAAATATCAGATTCTTTCCCTGAAATTGCATCACAAGCCACCTTTGATCCTCTAATTCATCTTCACTTCTTTATTTCTATAGACAATGAAGAGCAAATTTAAAAAGTCTCCTATATCACCTGCCTCTCCCCTTCTTTCATTGCATGTTCTGAGAAAATAAATTACCTCACTGTTGCTGTGCCTATTAATGGCCTTTGGCTTAGATAATTGAATAAGCCAATCAGAGTGCAGCTCCTGGCTTTGAATCTCTCGGGCTTTTTCTAACTGTCACTTCCCTAACTGTCACTGAAACAGTATATTAGAAGCTGCTTGCCAGCAGGCTAAACCTGTTCAGGATCAGAGGAAGAGCTGAAGCTATTAAAGCCTCTCTCTTCTGAGGAAGAAAGGCCCGAACTCCAATTGTACAGGACGATTGTAGAAAGAGCTGAAATGAAACAGTTTAGTTTGTAAATCTTTGTGAGGCTCATTTATTTAATAGATTGTAAACATATAAAGTTACAGTCCACCACCTTTATAACACATGTTCAAAGCAAATCTCCCACCCTTCCATGGTTTCTTTAGTATCCAAGTTCTGATAAAAAGTTGGGAGTGATGGGAGCAAAGCCATTTCAAAGAAGTCCGCCTTCCCCTTGTCCAAATCAACAGTTGACAAAGGTGTTGCGGGATGGAAAATATCTATAATGTCACCCTTCACCCTTGGGATATGAATGACCAAAGTGGAAAGTGGTGCATCATCAAACATTCGGCACTTATTATCTCCTTCATCTATGAATTCCTGGGGTGGAGCCTGGCAGGGAGCTGGGAGTTTGGAGTGATGGGGTTTTTCAGAGAGATACTGATGGAGTTGCTGCAAAAAGTTGGGGGCATGAACATTCCTAGCATTTTTCCATAAGCTAGCCTCCCTAATGGATGAAATACTGAATGTCCTTACCTCTTCATCCAGAATTTAACATTTCTTTCAATTCATACAATTTCCCCCCTTACAATATCTTTCTGAGAGTTGGTGAGAACACATAGTGCTTAGAGGCTTTTCTTTGAGCAGCAACAAATGGTGAAAAACTGGAATTTCAAAGGAACTTCCCTTCAGCAGTTCCAAGGAGATTTCACCCCCATTTGCACTCTGATACAGATGGCCTCAAAAGCTCTCAGGGAGAATGCTAAGACCAGATGACTGCAAAGAAAATTTGATGCTGCCAACCCTTCTGCCATCCTGTCAGAACTAATCCCTTCATAGTTCAACCATCCTGCCAGAATTAATGAAGCTTCTTGGATGAGAAGTTATTTTTTTTCTTCCTCAAGGAA